CAAGTTAGGACCTAAATTTTCTCAAAATATTCCCCCCTTAATTGATAAAATTTCAGTCGAAAAGATGGAATAAAAGGAAGAAATCCGGCCACATATATATAGAAAAGGATAGAGTCCTAAAACTTAGGTAATCATAATCCCTTTTGGACACAACTTATGAAAGATTCATCCCTACTAATTAGAGATAAAAATCCGACCCCCTACTACAATTAGGACTCAAATGCACGACCACACACAAGCACAATTGTATTAGAAGACTAAGAAATTTTCAGATTAGGATAAGACTTTCTTATTTTAATAGTTTTCGAAAATAGACTCACTTTAAAACTCTAATTATAATCTCACTGAAATTATAATTTAACTCATGCAAAAATTAGTATTTAAATCCAAGTAAGACTCAAATAAAACACACAATAAAATTGTATTTACATTAGGAAACAGAGGCTGAAAAATTCGGCCAATGTGAACACTAAAATCCAAGACCGAATAGGTTTCAAATCATAACACAATTTGGACTCAAAGACCTTAATTTTAGGGATAAAATTTTCGGCCATGTGAACACACAAATACAAGACCAAATAGGTCTCAAAGTATAACACAAATAGACAACCAAAATTCAAGTTCAACTAGGACTAGGAATCCCTAATTTTTAGCTCAAACGGCTATACAATGACTCTAAAATTCAAAACCAACTAGGCTTAGAATTTCACATAAAACACACGCACACACATGCATTAATTCAGCAAAAATTCGAAATTCAACGTTTACCACATAGTTAAAATTTGAAAAATTACGTTTGACTCACTTTAAAAAGGAAACTTGGAAATTACCACTTTCCAAAATGTCCAACAACTTTTAGAATACTTTCTAAAAACCACTTTCCAAATTGTATATGGAACTAACAAAAATCACTTTTCACCAAAACAATTTATGGCAAATAAAGTAACAAGAACACCATAAGTATAATAAAGTTGAAATTTAAAGTTCCTCATTCAACTATGACGTTTGCTTCATAATACTCAATTAAATACAAACCATATACAGCCTGAAGTGTTGGAACCTTTCAGGCCGTGCTGTTTTTGGGACGAGAGTCACCAAGGCCCTATTACTTTCCTGTTCCACCCTTTCCGATTGAAAGACTCCAGCAACCATGTGGCAGACTGACCGCCCAACCGTGTCCTAGTTATGTTGAAAGAATCTGGCATTAAAACCTTCAAGGCCAGCTGCCTTAAAGGGGTGCATATCAAACATAGCAGTTTTAACTTCTTCCGACGAAATCTCCCTGTTAAGAAGGGTTATACATCGATCTGCCAAGGGAGGGAACTGTCCACGTACTTGATAAGGGACAACTTCAGTTTGACCCTTTGAGTAAATGCCCTTAAAATACTTCGTTGCTTCAGCACAGAGTAATTGGGAATCAGAGCACCACGACCCATCCTCTAACTGAATTTTGGAGATTTTGTGCTTGTGTCGCTTTTCTCTGTATACAGCATAAAAAACTCTAGAGTTCCTACCGCCATGTGCCAACCAAATCGATCTAGCATTTTGCGCTTTGAGTAAGTCATTGATTTTGAGAACCAACGCTTGTTGTGCAACTTGAAGGGATAGGTTATTACACCAGCTGTCCTTTAACCATTGCTGCCAATCCTGATGTGATTCCCACGCTGCAAGTTACCTGAAGTTTTTCTATATAGGGGGCCTCCCACGAATTGGCTTTATTCTTATTAGTAATGGTGAATGCTCAGAAGCAACTCTAGGGAGATGCGTAACAAGAGTATCAGAGGAAAAAGACAACCAAGCCTCATTTGCTAAAACTCTGTCTAATTGTTCGTGGCATTGACACCGACGCCATGTGAATCTCTGCCCTACAAACCCCAAGTCTATCATTTTGGCTTTCTGAACCCATTCCCTGAACCATTTGCATCCAGGAGTTCTCCAGCCGCCAATTTTTGTCGCCTTCTTCTATATAGGCGTTAAAATCGCCAAAAACTAACCAAGGAACTTCAATATCAGTAGCCAAGTCCTCTAATTTCCTCCACAGTTGACGCCTGATACCGGGCTGAGGGCTACCTTATACAGAAGTAAAAACTACAGGAATTTTGTCAGGGAAAAAAACTTTAAATACGATAAATTGCCAGTCATTTGCAAGTATCCTAACTAATAAAACATCATTCCACAAAATCCACAATCCACCAGAAAAACCAACCGCTTCTACTCTATGAGAATTTTGCATTCCAATAGCCCTAATTTCATTTTCCACATAAATACCACTGGTTTTTGTTTCAAACAAAACCACCATTGCTAACCTATGTTTGTTAATCAGAGATTTAATTTTAGAAATTGTAGTGGGGTTGGACACCCCTTGGCAGTTCTACGATAGTATGTTGTAATCCATAGAGAACAAAGGGATGAAAGGGGTAGATAAACTTATCTGGGGACTCAGAGAAGTCGCCTCCATCACCATCTGCTAACAGCACTCCCTCCATTTCTGAAGGTTGATTCCCATCTTCCTGGGGTTCAAACGCATCCACCATGATGTCTAAGTACTCCGCAAGCTCAGCGTTTGAAACCTTGGAAGATCTAGGAGCACCTTTAATTTTAAGTGGCTGCTTCACGTGGAAGGCTTTAGGTAAATCAGGAGGAACAGCAATCGCCTCTAGTGGTTGCAGAGAAGATGGGTGGGGAATTTTAACCAACGTATGTTGGGAGCTCGGTTCGCCGGTGGAGTTTGTCGCTGGGTCGGTCATCGATACTTCTGTGGTGGATATTTGGTTCCTTGATGACGAAGATGAAATCTGTTCAATTGGTATATTAGTTAGATCAATTACCTGGGTTGTTTGGGCCGCAGTAAGACCCTCCACATTGGGTTGGGCCGCAGTACTTTTCTTCTTGTTAGAAGCCGTTGGGTTGGCCCTGGGTGGTCCCCTCCAATGTCGCCTGGGAGCCTGCATCCAATCCCCAATCCCTCCCGGTTGAGGTTGTCCTGGTTGTTCTAGCTCCGTTACGTGTAGCGTAGCCGCTACCATTGGGTCCCCTGACTGAGTCACCTCTGTTTTACCCTAGTCAGTCATCACCGGGGCCGGCGGTATCGGACTAGTCGGACACAGATCGGCCGTGTGGCCGTATCGACCACAAGAAAAGCAAATCAATGATAGATCCTCATATTCTGCCTTGTAGAAAACACCATCGACGTCTACCATTCCCTTTAAGGCAACCGTCAAATCTAATTGAACGGCGATTCGAGCGTATTTTCCTCTGGTACCGGAGAGAGTAGATTCATCCGCCTTGATGTACGGGCCAATTGACCTGACCACATTCCTAAGAATGGCTTCATGAAAGTAATGCAGCGGTAATTCAGGAATCCTAATCCAAGCTGCTACAGACGAAAGATTCTCAAAATTTACATCGAACTTGGGCGACCATGGAAAGACTCTGAGATACCAGCTCACCCCGTATGTCTATGGGACGTTTAGCATAACATAGTTGTAGTCTTCTTCGTGACTTAGGCAAACTATGTAGTGCCCATTGACTTGATCGGTCACCTCCAATTCCCCTTTCAAGTTCCAAATTTTATCTAATCTATCCATAAGAGCCCCATAGGTTACCTTTCGACCGAGTGGACTAATTACGACAGAGTAGCTCATAGCTTTTTTCATTCTTTGTTGGACTGGATCCAAGAACGTCACTGATCCAATGCCATTTTTTACACAGTGGATAATTTCATCGTCGTTGACCGTTACCAGTTCTCTCGCCGGAAGCTTGATTTTTTTACCCCCCAGGGAGTTGAGAACAACGGATTAGAAAGAGAAAGGGATCGATGGAACCGCGAATTCTCCCTCTCTGTTTTTAACCTTTTTAGTGGCCGGGTTTTCCTCAATCATCCCAGATTGTGCAAGTGTGGTCACCTCCTTGTTCATCTGGACAGGAGGTTCACAAAGTTCACACGATTTTTAGAGAGAAGGCGGAGCGAGGTGACTAGAGAGAGAAAAAATTGTGTTCACAACCTTTTTTAATTAAGTGGTTGGTTTCGAATTTGGATTAAATGCGAAGTGAGTTGATATACGTTACATACTGTTAGTACAGTATAGTAACTTTTATATTTATTTTTCTGGAAATGCAGTATAGTTTATTTGATAGTTTGTTTAACAAGATTGGAAATGTCGAAGGAGAAGGCTAATTGGTTATGAGAAGGGAGAAAACCACCATTAGACCTCTACAATTAGAGTTGGCAAGAAAATTCACGGGTTTTACTACCCATCCAAATTTATTGGACTTTTTATCCATAAAAACTCATCCATTTTATATTTTGGGCTTAGATGAATCTGGATAAAAAGTTGTTTGGATGGGTATGGGTAATCTATTAGATTTTCAAACTATACAATCATCATTTATCTATTTTTTAAATGGGATGAAAAAAATAACCATCGATACAAGTTAATGAGTAGGTTATTACGGGTAAGCGTGGACATGAATGAATGCGGGCCAAAAGATGAATGAATGCGGGCCCTCTACATGCTTCAATAATTCAAGAAAGCTAGATTTTTGGCCCGGATGCAAGAAAGCTAAATATCATCATCATTCGATTTAATAACGAGTACCTTTACGAATAATGTTTTATTTTTTTGTTGCGCTCACCATAATTTGCCATTTGGAAATGAAAACATCAAATGAAACATTGTGTTCAGGTTCAAAATGCTACATCACTAAGAACTCCCACCGGACGGTCTGAAGGGAATATATAAACTGAAACGTGGGCTCCACCATTTTGGCTAAGAGACTTGAACATAAAGGAATGCAGGTTGGATCATTTTGGCCATATACAGAGAAGTGTAGATTTTTTTCAACAGAAAAGAAAAAAGAAAATGCTATATTCCAGAACGTCTACTCGAGTCTAGCCATAAGGCGTCTGGGTCTGTTTCAAACACAGTTTAGAGGAGCCAATCAGCACCACAAAGGAGCAAAGTCCTTTGCAAGAAAAAAACATGCCTTGAGTGAAATGGTCAATTGCTATCATTGTTGTCACCACCATATTGTGTAGAATTCCCATTCCAGAAGGTATTTCTATCACTGGAACGATTGTCATCCTCCTCATCGCGCTTTAGAGTATGGATACTATGGATATTACTACCAAAAGGAGGCCTCGTTTGTGGCCTACCGCTTGTTCGCCTAGCGACACTCGTACTCTGATTTGATGAGTTTACTCCATATGATCTACCTGCTGCTCTGAGATTGTTCCGTGATGAAGGATTTGCACCTAAAGCAGAAAGCACCAGAACCCAAAACAAAAGGAAAATTTTATGTTTCTGGCCATATTTGGAATTAAGAATCGAAAAGGTTGCAAAGGAAATCTGAGTTAAGTTCTACGATTATACAGACACTTTATGCACGGACAGGTTCATGTTTTTAACAAGAGAAAAAGACAGTCACACTGCAGATGACAATTGAAAAGCTATTTACGACTGCAAGTTTTAAGAGATTCAGATGCACTTCTAGACCCGGGAAGTTAAAGATATACCAGAAGACTGTTGAACTATAAAAAAATGGCACATAATAGACAGCGGAAATTAAGTTCAATGCATGTGTATACTCTTAGATTAACTAATAACCCAAAATATTCAGATGACATGCTTGAGTTCCAAGTTTCAACTCCTAGAGTTTGTATATCTTTTAACACCTAATTAGTGCCACAAATAAAAAATGAATAAATAAACAAAAAGAAAAAGAAACCTAAAAAATATAGTTCCAACTCACCGTGCGACTGCATGCTACTTTTATGATCCTGTGAAATATCGGGGGAACTGGCACCACCACCAAGGTATGAGAAAGGGTTAAAGAAAGATACAATCCTCCTAACATATGCCCAATACCCAGTGTGGCTCCCGTTGGAAGAGGCATCTCCATCAAAATTTGTTTGACCACGCACGGATGGTACTATGTTGACTTGGGAGGTCCGGGGCCCATGTGGGACCACAATTAATGTTTGCCGTCCAAACAAATCCAACTCCTGCAGAGTCATTCTCAGATCTGCAAAAAAAAATGGAAAGATTAACACATTCCTTAGTAGAATTAGTAGCACACTGTAAAATAATTAACTTCAGGATAGACTCAATAATAAGCCAGCCAAAATTCTGCAAACAGAAATTCCAACAGATAATCAACCAATACCATTCTTAATCAGCAATACTAAAAGACAAGTTCACTCAGAATCTATCAAACAAAAGTTGGAAGCGTATCTGATTGGCAAACACGGGTGATCTTAAAAGAGCAAAAATTGAAAGGTTTCACATAAATATACAAGAACATGACCATCTATTATGCCAGGGTTATACTCTTAGCCCCATATCTCTAATCCACAACAACATTTTCTGTGTCTGAATTCTGAAAATAGTTGTCTTTTCATAACTTAAATTACCTAGTACTGCAATGTCCATACAATTAATATTTATGTTCCTGCATTAATCTAGAAAAAAATTACACAATTAATGCATAGTTTTAGTGGCCTACTCCTGGGTTTCTGTTTCCCAGATTCAAATTAGGAAGTCATTTTCATTTCAACATACTTTAAATTTTCTCTTAATTCTTTTTCTTCATTTTTACTGCCATAATATAGTACGTTCCCCGATTTGCATCTACCCCAGGTTCAATGATACATAAATGGATGAAAGCGAAAAAAAAAAAAAAAAAGGAAAAAGAAAACATAAGCAACAAGGACCATAATGGACAAGACATCAGCCTTGTTTCAACTTTCAAGGATATAAAGCTAAGCTGATTCACGAGTAACAGAACTTAAACAATAAATTTAACAATCACGGCACCATACCTTGTTCCCCAAAAACCTTCCGCGGGTAAGGAATTGCTAAATTGTAAGGACCAATATAACTTGTCCTGTTCTCATCTACATAATCTTTTACTTTTCTCAAAGGATCCATCACAGAGAGCTTCGTCCGCAAACTAGTTCCATCAGGTAACTTTATGTTAAAATGGACATCGCTTGACTTCGTAGCAGCAGGCTCCAGCCCATTACTGTCTTTAGTTCCCCCACTGTCATTTTTGCAGGCCTCAATTTCGTTCTTTTCAACTTTTGTTGAATTGCTCTTTACAGATTGTGATAGATCAACACTGAGAATCTCTTTTGGAGTAACAGACTTGTCTTGAGTGTTGCTAAAACACACAGGACCTGGAGTTGCAGAAGCTCCAGATGTCCCATAATATTCAGAGGTCCCCATTTCATTCACCAAAGGGGATTCAGCCAATACCATATCATGTGGTTTTGAATTTTCATCCTGCACACATCAAAACAAACTATTAGCAAAATTTAAGCGATCAGGCTGAAGAACCAACAACAGAAGCTGGATTCACCTTGGAAGCAGATTCAGGAAAACTAGTTTCTTCCCCTTTCTCATGCCTTGCTGATGATTCTACTTCTGGTACATTTACAGGAGAAGACATGTTATTTTCTCTTGACGAACTCCCTTGATCAGATGAGCTACTACCAGAAGTTTCAGAAGTTGGTTGATTTTTGGAGGCCAACGCAGCAGTCAAGTAAGTTGCAGTTGTTTCCTACAAAGTACAACAGCGAAGTCAAGAATGGATCGGTTGCCATCTGAAAGCTACTGACGCATATGAGAAAACCCAAATAGATACACTAATAGAGCATGAAATCTAACAAATGGTATCATAAATTAGCAAAATCATTCAACTATTTAAATGGCATAAAATTAATTTCCTTTTTATTTTTGTTACTATTAACCAAATAACTGCAACAAAATTACATAGTGATTCATCTGGACAAAGGGATAGTTCTCAGTTAGCAGCCAATTACATGATTTTAATAGTTTAAACTTCACATCAATTGACATTTTGAAGAAAATCATAATTTTGTAATGGTAACAAATGAAGCCATTAGGCAAGTACTATGGCTGTTCAGCTTCAAAAAACAAAAGGGAGGCATAGGCAAGCACCTTTCTAACAAGCAACTTTTTTCCGATCAAAATCTGTTTAATTCTTCTCAAAGAGACAAGATACAGATTGTTTTTACTCCCTCCTAGAAAAGATCAATTTTTCAACATTGATAGCAGTTTCAGGACAGCAGTTTACTCCCTCCTAGAAAACAGGACAGCAGTTTCACATTGATAGCAGACAGAAACTGAGATATCATATCTTAAGACCCATTTCAATTTCACAATGCAGAGAGAATTGCACATGCCCAACGGGAATATCATCCACGTCAAACTAATCAATCTGAAAATGGAAATACCTGAATATGAAGACTCAACCATGATTTTTCAATGCTGGATGCTACAATATCAGCCGTGAAAAAGCCATCTGTTCAATTGTTGCAGGAAAAACAACAATCTTGAAGATTCTCACTTCCGCCATCACATAACCTTGAGAGGATAGAAGAGTTTCTTACCATACTGCCATAATAATACACCATTGTATCCAATAGCTGTTAAACATGGGGGAGACTTCTGAGGATCTTTGAAGATTGGTTAAGGGAAGTGCATAATATATTACTCATAAATGTTGATAAAGAGATCATACTGATTATCACAGAGTTACAAGGGAAAAGGGTATTTACAAAGCCTCTTTATTAAGGCAAGAATAGAACGAACAAAATCAATAATGAGATCAAAGGACCAGATTTATCCCAGAAACTAAATACAACTTGCACAGAAATTAAGATTTTCATAACAGATATCTATCAACAGTATTATAGGCTTCTTCTACAGTTCCACGTAGGTTATTCTAAGAAAGTCAAAGCATTCTCGAGTTAACATTACATTCCAAACATTAATAATCCAGACAAACTCATGTTCCTATAATATTATATGCACCATACAGAAGTTTTAGGCAACCATCATGCACCTACAATTCAGTGTGTCGTTACAAATGTCGAAAATGAAGATGGTACACGAACACTCATCCCCTGCAAATCTACTTTCAAATTCATAAAAAGCAAAAACCCGGTAAGCTACTTTAAGCAACCAACTCTCGAAACATGAGCTCTATGAGTTTCATATAGATGCGAACTCGTCAATTCTCCATGGATTAAGCTAATGTACCTAATTGATGTCATGATCCAGATTCAATGGAGGGGTGATGCAGGATCAATTGTTATCAATGGCAGTTATTATCCACTTAGGCAAGCCCATTGGCATTCTCCTTCTGAGCATACAATTAACCACATGAATATACAAGGAAAAAGAATGAAAGAGCAAATTATAATAAAATATTAAATTAAGCAAAGAGAGAAAAGTAAAATAGTTAAAATAAAGCCTTCATCATTTGTCCCAGAACTCATGCAGATTCATAAAATCGAAAGCTTTAGACCTTCCACCTGATAAAAGCCAATAGCTACACAAGGTTTTCACCTCATTTCTGATGAAGGAAAAACCTAATTTCATTCTGCTTTCTAGTTAAGATGTTAGTAATCTAGTCTGTATAGCATATGAATCATCAAACATCCATCCATTTAAATATTTTCTTTGAACAAGTAGTTGTCCTAGAGCATTTGCAACTATGAAGGAAACTTTGTACAAACAGAAAATTCAAGTAACATGAAAATCCATTACTTGAAAGTGCACTATGCCCCTGTAAACCCATGGTGCAATGGATTTGTAGTGACTAAATATTTTTCCAATATAGGGGTTTCAACAGTGCTCCCTTGTGTGGTCAATGAATTCTTTAAAATTAAAATTACAATGAAAACTCAACCACAAAATTAAAATGCAAGAGTTTATACTAACACCAAATTAAATGCTAATACAATACTAAATCATCATCTTACATGTTTCTATTTTTGAAGAAATAGAAACAGAGAGATTCAACCAAACTCAATACTAATACGGATTAATTGAAAATTGTGCTTCAAATCGAGACAAGACTTCATATCAAGGATACACAGAGCAGAAAAGTTTGCAGCATCTGTACTCCCTGCTGAGATGTGTAGCAAAATGCAGTACTTCAATATTGACTCTGCCAACTAGATATATTCAACAGTCAAGAAAACAAAGTTTTCAAATAAGAAACAAGAAGTCACAAATGTTTAAAATTTTCTCGTCAATGAACCAGAGCATGGGAGGCAACCTACAGTAGAATCTGCCCATGTAGATGTTGCTAGATTATGTGACTCCAGATTGTCACCTAAATAAAATAAGTATAGACAAAGCAAAATCAAAATTAAATACCGCGTAAACGGGAGGCAGGTCACAAAGTCACCTGATACCCTCAGAAGATAAAAGTATGAATTAATTTACTCGAGTACATAAGGTAGCAGATACAGCAAGAGAAATGTATTACCCAAAGCTTAAACACACAGGCAGAAGAGAGACAATGCCATAGCTCTATTGAAGGCAAATAAACAGCAGATATTATCAACATAAGCAAAATTGCAGATCAAAGAAACTTTACTCCCACATTTTTTATCCTCCATTATCAAAATACCTATGATCATAACTTCGAACCTAATACTTAAGTAAATGGCAGAAAATGAGCATCATACATTATATATTATCATATGTCACACATGTTAAGGCATTGATAGGACATCTGATCATGTTGTAATCATGCCAAATATTCTTCAGTTTACCAAGTTTAACAACTCCGCCATAAATCAAAAGTCACAACTGTAATGACAGATGGTATCATGCTGAAACAAGGTACAATATTCAACTAGAACCATGCTCTAATAAGTTTCCCTTTCCCCATTTCCCCTTCAAATTCATGAAACTGCTATACTAAGTTCTCCTTTTTGTCTTCTCTTCATCCTTCCATAAGGTAGTACAGGTTTCGTGAATTAAAATAATTCAGATTGCAGTACCTAATACTAAAAGTAGACAACCATCCAACTCAAGAAGTCAAAAACTGTTGCAATTTTTAAAGTACAGAATACACATACACACCATAGATGGTGAAACACAACTGCCACAGCACATTAGTGGTGACTCATATGCTGCACAATTCATACAGAGATTATTGAAGATTCAACGAATTAAAATGATGAATACCAGAGATATAGACTACAAACAGCTTTTTTTGCTGTTTGGCTTCAGCAATGGCTTCAATGATTGAACCTTTGAACGTCAGAGTGGAGAGAGATTGTTCCATCTAAACATGATATACAAGGGGGAAAAGCAGATATTTACTCACAACAAAATAGATGGAAAGACAAACATAGAAGAATGAAATACTAAACGCCTGCTATAAAGTTTGCTAACCAACTGAGACCCATTTCAATTTAACCACCTTTGCTTAATCAATTGGGCAAGGCAACAAAGGACTCCAAATTTATAAGGAAAATTTTCACACTTGATTCGCAACCAAAGGTACATCTTCCACTACAACACAAACACAAAAACAAAAGTCGCAGAACAAACATTAAAGTGATCAAGTTCTATCCTACAATGCTCCAATAAATCTTAGAAAAAGAATCAGGTTTGATTTATTCAAGAACGTCTGAAGTTTGTAGTTATATTTTTTCAACCCTCCCAAGTCCCAATGGTTAAGCAACAAATTTTGGGAGCAAACAGCAACCAAAAGTGTTGTAGGCATTTACATTACTTAATAACATAATTAACTGCTCGCCGGAACAATTTCATCATGTTTGTTAATCATCCACTAACATTTTTTTTTTTGGGACTACCTAATCCACCCCCTAGTAACTACCCCCTAGACCCCAAGAAAACTCCCTACCAATTTCCCACCCCATGGGATTCAATCCTGGGCAACCAGGAGGCCCCTATCCACCACAACCGCTGGGGCAACGTTCGATTCCCTCCACTAACTTATCTACCAAAAGAATCAAGTGAGAGAGAAGGTTTGTCGTTACCGATCAAATAGATGAGACTTGCAAAGAAATAAACTACACAACAAATACATTGGAAAAAACAAATTTCAACTCCGTAATTTTCTCACAAGGACAAATTTTATATTATTGTGATTTCAGAAAATTCCAATCATTAGTTTTCTCCAATTTAATCCAGTTTCAGCCCGGAATTAAAAGAGGAAAAAAGATCACACGCAAAAATTACGAACTTACCACCACCATAATTCAAGAAATTCATAGTCACACAAAAAAAAAAAAAAAAACAGATACAAATTCGCGTTCATCAGGAAGAAACCCAAACTGAAATTTCAATCGTTCAAGGCTACAACTCGGAAGAACAACATGGAATCAGTTCAATTTGTTACAGAATTCAAGATCATATACGCATACATAAATCCATCAACTGAAATTAAGTAGTGTTTGATGAATAAGAAGAGAACTGCACCTTGTCAGTTTGGTCGTTGTGGCTGAACTGCGAGGCGCTTCTAGTTAAATTGGGCTTTCTTTCTTTTGTGCGTATTTTCATTATGAGTTCAAATTATATATATAGATATATATATATATATCTTACTATATTAGAAACAAAAACCACACTTAAGAGAAAGCACAACTATTTGCCATGTGGCATTTTCACATCATATTTTTAAAATAAATCTTTATTTTCACATCTCCTAGACTTAAAAGGCAAATGCAGTCCAAATCTACCTCCACCTCCACCTCCACCTCCTATTTTTGCCAAAACAAAAAAAAGACGGGTTCATAAAAAACCCAAATCCTCATCCCCATCTCCATGACAATCGACGCTCTAATCAATCCCTTCTCCACAATAAAAAATAAATAAATAATAAATTCCTCATCAATCATCAATTGAGAATATGTGGTGAAATATACTCATTTTCCATTAGTATGTTCAATCTTTTCATTAGTGATGATCAACTACATCCTGATCAGATAAAATTTCGACTTCAAAAAATATTCTCTTTACCTTTCTATATAAACAGAAAGGAAAAAAAAAAATTCTCATTGATCTTGCTTCGGCCGTTGTGGTGGTGCAATTACAGGTATTAAAATTTAAATGATTTTATTTCCACAGATCATTTGTTTGGCTTTTATTATTTTTTGTTTTTCATGTTCAAGAATAGTGTTATTACTATTATTTTTATGCGTCCATCCGTTACAGCTACCGTAGCCGTTGTCAGGTAATATGATGTAATTTCTTATATAGTTAGTTAGCCTAGAAGTTTTGTATGATTTTAGTTCTGTTTGGATTGAATTGATTAATTGAATTTTTGTTACAAAGTGTGGTTTTTTAAATTTCTTTTTAATGTTTCATTTAATTAGAGTGGTTTTCTTTTTTTAATTATGGAGTCTCAATTTTTTTTTCGTATATGGTCAGTTACGAAGTGTATTTTTTCTTTGTTTAATTGTTTTTTATTTTGTTTCATATTCTCAGTTGACCAATTATTATTATTATTATTTTATTTTATTTGCAAATAAAGCGCTCTTTTTGTGTTCGGGCTTTCAAGAATATACTTTTTGAATTTTGGTTTTTGAACTTTTTTTAGTTTCTCATCGTCTAAATAGTTCAGGTCGCTTCTTTTAACTGATTTCTGAGGAAGCCTTTTATGAATTTGAGGCGGAGAGGGAAAGAATGATGTTTCTATGTTTATTTGTATTTTTATACAACATTTTTACCTACAGGAAAAAAATAAATTTCTCAATTTTAAATGGGCTATCTTTTACTTTCTTTTTTTCTTATTTGTCATGGTGAGGTGAGTTCTTTTTTTGTATAACTTGAAACCTATGCAAATTTACATTATTTTCATTCTCATATTTGTGATCAACCAATTTCATCAATTAACCAGTTTCAAAATCATATTTTTGATATTTTACTACTTATAAACTTTTGGAAGAAATAGTTTCAACAATTAAGCGTATACCCTTGGGAGGAAGCTTACTACAAAGCTATTATAAATCTCCAAAACTAAGTATTGATTTGGCACAACTAGAAAACATCAATAAATTATCTTAATATTTAAACTTATTAGGATGCTTTTATATTTTGTCTAGCATTTAATTCGAGACATATATTTGATCAAGTTTATTTATATTTAAAAAGTAACACTTATAAAACATTTCTAAAACGTACCGGGTCAAATACAATTTCTTTTTATGTCAAGTACAAACATTTCTATAATCACACTTATAAAACATTTCTAAATTTTTCAAACATTTCTAAAATATATCGGGCCAAATATAAATTTTTTTTTTCAGATACAAACATTTCTAAGATGTACGGATATATTGGGCCAGGGTCGCGTATTGCGCGACCAGACATCAGTAGTATATATATATATATATATATAGATATATCCTACTATATTAGAAATATTAAAAACCCCCATTTCAAACACCTCCTATGATTGTCACGTGACATGAACAAAGTACTAAATTGTCCTTTTGTCTAACCATAACTAAATTACTAAATCCCCATTTGCACTTTACGTGACACGTTTTTTTTTTTTTTTCTTTATGTTTCATTCAATTAGAGTGGTTTTCTTTTATTAATTATGGAGTCTAAATTGAATTGATCAATTAGGTTTTAGTTACAAAATATCAATTTTGTTTTAAGCGTAACTCTTCGGATGAAATTTATTACAAAGCTATTAAAAATCTCCAAAATTAAGTATTGATTTGGCACGACCAATGGAGAACATCAATAAATCATCTTACTAATATTTAAACTTATTAGGATGCTTTTATATTTTGTCTAATATTTACTTTAACACATATATTCGATTAAGTCTATTTATATTTAATAAGTAACACTTATAAAACATTTCTAAAACATATATGGCGAAATTCAATTTCTTTTTTTGTTAAATACAAATATTTCTATGATCACACTTATAAAACATTTCTAAATCTTTCAACCATTTCTAAAATATATCGCTCCAAATACAAATTTTTTTTTTCAAATATAAACATTTCTAACATCTACAAATAGATTGGGCCAGGGTCGCGCATTGCGCGACCAGACATCACTAGTGTGTGTGTGTATATATATATATATATATATATATATATATATATATATATAAACCCCATTTCAAACACCTCCTATGATTGCCACGTGACATGAGCAAAGTACTGAATTGTCCTTTTGTCTAACCATAACTAAATTACTAAATTCCCTTTGCACTTTACGTGACACGTTTTTTTTTTTTTTTTTTCTTTATGTTTCATTCAATTAGAGTGGTTTTCTTTTCTTAATTATGGAGTCTAAATTGAATTGATCAATTAAGTTTTTGTTACAAAATGTCAATTTTGTTTTAAGCGTATACCCTTCGGATGAAACTTATTACAAAGCTATTAAAAATCTCCAAAATTAAGTATTGATTTGGCACGACCAATGGAGAACATCAATAAATCATCTTACTAATATTTAAACTTATTAGGATGCTTTCATATTTTGTCTAATATTTACTTCAACACATATATTCGATTAAGTCTATTTATATTTAATAAGTATCACTTATAAAACATTTCTTAAACATACATGGCGAAATTCAATTTCTTTTTTTGTTAAATACAAATATTTCTATGATCACACTTATAAAACATTTCTAAATCCTTCAAACATTTCTAAAATATATCGCTCCAAATATAATTTTTTTTTTTAAATATAAATATTTCTAAGATCTACAGATAGATTGGGCCAGGGTCGCGCATTGCGCGACCAGACATCACTAGTGTATATATATATATATATATATATATATATATATATGGAAAATTTAAAGTCCCGTTGCCCATTTTTACGAAACCATCTCGTTTTGTCTTCAACCAATCAAAATTGAGGGTATAAGATTTAACCATGTGCTGAATAACATTCTATAGTATCATAAACTAATTGAGAAAATGGTCACTTTTGCCCAAAACATCAAGTTTCTTGTCAATTTGACCCAAAATATTTTTGGGAAACTAAATTCATCATCTAAATTTCAATTTATTGCCAATTTAATCCAAATTGATAAGAATTCTGTTAGATTTAATATTTCCACTGACATTCCGCTACTTTGTATAATTTTTTATTGGTAAAAAATTTTGCTGACCCAAAATTTTAACATTTTATCCCTAATGTTTTGTTATTCAGTAACATACGCTCATCTTACCATTTAATTATTATAACGTCCCTACCACATAATTTATCTCTTAATCTAATTTATTACTCCCACCCTAAGCCTCTTCCTTTTCTTCCTCTTTTACTTGGTTTCCGCTACAGCACCACCACCGCCTCTTTCCTCTTCTCTCCTAAAAATTACCATCACCACTTCCTAAATCTGTGAGGATTTCAAACCATCACCACAAACATAAAAATTTGCCTCCACTAACAGTACACAATCCTCCCTCCATCACTACCCGCATTTCCGTCGCTACCACTTTTCTTCAATTTCACAAAAATTACAAAATATTTTACTTATTTTTCCTTTTCCCCCCTTCTTCTTTCTAAAAAATTGTACAAAGTAACGGAAAAGGAAAAATGGCGGTTACACCGTTTTGACCTCGTCGTCAATTTTACCCTATTAATTTTCGATTAGCCAATTTTGTCCTTTATGTTTGAAATTTTTGTCAATTTCATCCAATTGGTCAAATTTCCGTTAAACTTAACGGATCTCCGTTAATTTTTAACAAAAATACCCTAATAGTTTCAAAATATTATAAAGATAACTCATAAAATATTTTTTGAGTTATCCGGAACCTGAACGTCATTTTTATCCTTTTTTTGCTTAAAGAAAATGTAAAAATAACAAAATATCTCCTTTTCACTTGTATTCATTTTAATCTATTTCATTTTATTTCTATTTACTACTTTTCATAACCATCAAAATATACTATATGATCTTTAAAAAATAATTATTTATTTTCAGTAATATTTTTCATATGCAACACACTTGAGTGGGGTTTAGAGGTAATTTTGTCTTTTTATATTTTTTTAAACATTTTAATTTGTTTTATTTTGTTTTTTTTTAACAAGTTTCTTCTTGTACTCTCTGACTTGTCTATGTTGGCACTAGTATAATTACTATATTTCAAGAAAAAAATTTACGTTTTGTAATTCAATTTTGAGGTTTAAAAAAATATTAAAAATATGCTGTTAAAAAATATACGTATTTATCTTTTTCATGAAACTCAATGATTGCTTATATAGTTTTTTTTTTTTTTACGAGAACCAGGGCGGTACCTGGCGGGCATCCCCCGATTTTATTGGTTTAAAGTAAAAGTTACAATTGGTAGTGCTTAAGACTTACCCAAAAAGAAGGATCGTCTTACAATCATTTTCTAATTTTTCTATGACGGCCCTATTGTAAAGCTAAAGCTAAGAGCTGTCTTACAAATAATCTTCTAGTGATCCCCTGACAGCTCTAACATCCCTAACCTCTCTAAACTAAGATACTCCCTTACAAAGATTGTCTAAAATCCCTGACAGTTCTTTAGTTTCCTAGTCTAGTTCCTATCTAA